AGCACTCAATCTGTCTCTCCCTCCCCTTGCCCTTTGGCAACCTTAACTACCCCCACTCCCCACCAAGCCAGGGACACAGCATCCCTCCCCAAAGCAGTATGAGCAGCTGACAAAGGGAATGAGTAGTTTCTTAGCATTTTAGTTGTACACTGCCTGTTTTGTGAGAGGCTGTGCGTCTGTTGGGATAAACAGCACTCCCTACTCCATCAGCTAGCCAAGAGGTTGAGCTGGGCACCCCACTCCCATCCCCTTTCTTTCAAGGGAATGCTAGCAGTTTTAACAAGGAGTGGGGAAAAGAGAAGCATTCCCTGACATTCCAGAATAGCTACCTTGCTGTGCAATCCACGCTGTGCCTGGTTGGGCAGGGCAGATGCCATTTGGACAGGGGGTTTCCTCTCCTTGGTCTCTGGGGCTGTTCTGGCTTATTTCTTATTTTTTAAGCCTTTTTGTTTGACCCTGGCTGCAAAGAGACTTCTCCAGGCAAAGCAAATTGGAGAATACAGGGTATCCATTTTTCCTTGAGTGGGTGGGTGGGAACGTGTATATATGGCCTCTTCCAGTTTTCTTTTTAAAAGTCTATTCATCCTGTGCTGGTGGAAGGTGATCTCTGATGGATGGAGCTCGGTTTTGCCTGACCAGGTAGCACTTTGGGCTGTCTGCTCACGCACAGAGAGAATGGACGGAGCATATTGGAGGGGAGGATAATCTAACAATCTGTCCAGCCAGCTTGTTTTGGTATTTTAGACACAGTCTCACTGCCTCGCTGAGGGAAAATGCTCAAATCCAGCACCTTCCTGTCTCAGCCTCCTGAGTGGTGAGATCGCAGGAGTTCATCCCTCTGGCCGGCCACTTAGTGTCCATGGAAATATGGCCCTCCTCTGCTTCCTCAGGCTCTCTACCCAGGCTCAGTGTCCCAGAGGCCTTATGAACCTGGAGTTCCTGTGAGATGTTATGGCCGGCAGCAGTGTGTGAAGGTGTTTGTGAGGGGCTGCCAGCTAGCAGCTCTTAGCTTTCCATGTGTAGCACCTGTGTTGTTATTGCCTGTGAAGGGGACCAGGCTGGGACACCACCCAGCATGCTACTTTGGTAATAGAAGTATTTTAGGATGAAGGTGTTCAAGTTGCTGGGTCCTTTGTCTGCTGAGCATCCTAAAAGACCCCTGATTTCTTTGTTTCCCTCACAGGGAGTAACTCAGTCGCCTTCTCTCCACAGAGGCCAGAGTCTCCCAGTCACCCAGATAGTGTCAGAGGACTGTTTCTTCTCTGGGCCATTTGCCTAAGAAAGCTGGGTTTTCTTTTCAAGTCCTTTACTTTGGAGTAAGTCCCCATCTATAGCCCTGCCCCCTACACACACACACACACACACACACACACACACACACACACACACACACACACACACACACACAGAGCTAACTATGTGCTACTGACGAGCAAACTGACCTGAAACTGAGATCCACAGTGAGGGTGATGGGCCCTGGGGGAAAGTCAAGAATCTGTGTGTGCAAGTCTTGGGCTGTCCCTTTAAGATGTGTTGTGGGCTGAGTACATTTGCCTGTTTGCTATGTTAGTAATCCCTGTGTACACACCTCACCCACTCAGGGACTGTAGTTGTGTTCTTTAGTCCAGTTCTCCATGGCTCAGCAGGGCTCACGAGGGCTTTCCTCACTCGGCACTGGACACAAGACAGTAGTTAGGTTGGAATCCAAGTGCTAAAGTTTCCAGGGTTTGGCCATTCAGTTCCTCCTGGGATCCTGCAATTAATCTGATTCTTGGCTGTGCCCAAAAGGGAGATTTTTAATTTTTTTAATCTTCCTTTTACCACTTCTCCTTATGGTTTTGTTTACACTGTTGCCAGCCAGTGCCCACTCCTTGATAATATCTGCATTTGGACGTTTTACCATGTCATTTACTCCCATCCTACCCAACTAGGTAAACAGTTGTGGTATTAGCAAAGAGTGTCACAGAGGTGACAACGCCCCACCCCCACCTCTGTGACAGGATCTTGCCATGTAGCCTTGGCTGGCCTCGTACTCACTATGTAGCCCAGGCTGGCCTCAAACTTTTGGTGATCCTCCTGCCCCAGGCTCATGAGTGTGTATTGTCATAACTTGCTTAGTAGAGCTAGTCTTAACAGGAGGTTCCTGGGTCAAGAGTTGGCTTGGTATTTGAAGAACACACGGCACTCATTCTGAGCTGTTCTGGCATTTCATAAGAAAGACAAATGTTGTGGTGTTGCTGTGTCCTCTTCTCTCAGTGTTTGAGACAGATTGTTTTTCCTCAGAGGACAGTTCAGAGTCTTTCTGCTTGGTAGTTCCTTGTGAGTAGGCCTAGGGGGATGGGAGATGATCACAGGTGACTGTCACACATGACACCAAATACTATTTTAAATGCTATATCAAGACAGCATTGCCTTTCAATTATATTTTAGGTGTACTGGTTAAGTCAAAGAGTCTGAAGTTGGTTCTGATTTTTTTTTGAAACAGGGTTTCTCTGTGTAGCCCTGGCTGACCTGGAACTCTCTCTGTAGACCAGGCTAGCTTTGAATTCATAGAGATCTGCCTGCCTCTGCCTCCCAAGAGCTGGGATCAAAGGCATGTGCCACCACCACCCAGCTTCTGGAAATGTTTTGAATGCTTCTCTAATACTGATCTTCTCTGTTTAAAACCACTTTTTCTCTTCTTCCTTCTTTTTTTTTGAGACAGTCTTGCCATGTAGCCCAGGCTGGCCTTGAGGGAACAAGCTCTTGGTTCCTAACCTTCAGCAGTTTGCTGAAATTCAGCCATAATACTTTCCTCCACTTTCTGGTATTTACTTTCATAGTTGCTCTCTGTTTATGATAAACAACCTTGGGTTTTGACTCAGTATTTGTGTCAAGAATTTTAACATAAGAATGAAGGTAAAAATGAATTGATTTAAAGGTCGTGAGGGATTTTGTGGGTGGCTGCTGATGGGAAGCATGGCTTTGGGATGGTTCTCATGCTTCTACAATCATGCACCCCCTTGGCATTACTATCTCATCCTCTTTTCTCCCTTTCTCTCTCTTAAGGGGTATTTCCCACTTTGCCCAGCTTGATTTACTGTCTGTTCCTCTTTTCTTCTCTTCACCAGTTCCTACTGCTGGGGATTTCCTTCTGTGACTTATCCCTTTATGTTTTTCCTTTTGCAATCAATGGTCACATGTCCCCTAGTTTGTCACAGAGTGTTAGAGTGAATGATACTGGTGTAGCAATGGGTCAGGCATACTCTCTGCTTGGTCTGACATTTTAAACATTTCTTTTAGCTCCTGGTCTCCACATGGACTACTTTCTTTTCCTGTGTGTAACTGTTTGAGCCTCTCTGTTTACGGCCAGGTCTTCAGGGGTAGGCTCTGTTTGACTCATCTCAGCATTACTTTGTATGGAGCCCAGGCCACTGTGAGTACAAGATGCTTCCTAATATTGTTTACAACCTGAGTAATGTGTCAGCCTCAAAATTGTCAGAATTGTGTGAAATGTATGAGCACCCATGAAGACACAGATGGAGCCTGGCCTTGGATTCAATCAATCAGTCAATAGACGCGCACGCGCTCGCGCATACACACACACACACACACACACACACACACACTCCCCTAAACATAAGAAAACCATAAGCAAAAACCCCTCTGTTTTAGTACATGCCATTCCAAGGTTTAACACCAATATTATGAGAGAAGGGCTTACTGATTAGCACCAGAATGCACGATATGGATGAATGGTTGCTTTGTCCTGACTCTGTGGGCGCCGAAGTCTGAAAGCTGTACCCATCCCATTTGACTTGCCCTGTACCAGCGTGTGTGCTCTTTCTCTGCCATCCCGTATTTCTGCCTACATCGATGGGCTTAAGAAAACATGCTATGCATGACCAAGGCTGTCTCCTGTTGAATCAGACTCTCATAAAAAGGGGAAAAAGGGGGTGGGTGGGGAGCGAATGGGAAAGCCATGGAACATTCTATATTTCTTTTAGACCAATGCTTATTTTCTTGGCAGGCAAATGCTTTTTTCTCACCTTTTGACATACTCCTAATGGTCCCATTAAAATACATTTAGCCTTTTCTCCCTCCTCCATCTGCCAGCACTCTGTGTCATTTGGTGAACGTCAGGCAGGTTTTAAGTTCCGAGAAAAGTAGTGTACAGGCTCGAGTTGGAACAGGATCATATGTCTCCCCCCTCCAAAAAATGTACCCCCTCCCTCATTTTATTGTGCAGTGTCCAGTTGCAGCTGGCCCTGGAGGTGCTGGCACAGCAGGAAGATGTCATTGCTGCACGATACTGAGAGGTATTCCCAAGGAGGCTGGGGAGACTTCTTCTATTAGGAGTCCGCTGGAGCACGTAACCGGACTGTTATTCTTAGACATTCCTATGTGGCCTTGTGTAGATGGTCGCCAACATTCCTTCCTTTTCTCTGAGTAGGTGATTTTCTGTCATTGCTGGGGGATGCTGTGGAACCTCTCAAATTCCCTTCCCCATCTCCTGGAGTGACACAAGATTCCTTCCAGGAAACTGTCTTTCTCTACTTGTGGGGAGTATTGCATAGTGTGGTTTTGAGGATCCTGGCTCCCGCAGATGGGGAGGAGCTTAGAAGGTTGTTGGGCCAAGCCGTTGAGAAGGGTCCAGTGCTTTTCTCTTGCTTCTGAAGACCTTCCAGAGGGCAGGAACCAAGCTAGTCTTTGACTCAGAGATAAGCAGATATTCAAAAGACGGCTATTCTGGTGGGTATGGTGGGGACTTATAAAAAGCACCCAGAGAGAAGGCTAGTCCAGGGGACAGCAAGAGGAAGCCTGGAGTCAGATGGTGCTATACTGATGCCTGAGAGCAGAGGAGGGGGACACAAAGGTGGCCTCTTGGTATTGCTTCTTAACTACTTGTCTAAGGGTCTGGGTCCCCAGAAAACACTCAAAACCAGGGTATCTCCCTTTAGCAAGTTGAATATCTGTAATTTGAAAACTTAAAAATCTCAATTTTATCTTTCCTTTTCTAGATCGAGCCTCATGTGGTTCATGTTGGTCTTCAACTTGCTTTGTAGCTGAGGCTGGCCTTGAACTTCTGGCCCTCCCACCTCTACATCTGGACTGTGCTGAGCTTCCAGGCAGGTACCACTATGCCTGGATGGAACCCAGAGCTTTGTGTGTACTAGTCAAGTACTCTGCCAACTGGGCTGCCTTTGCAGCCTCCTGAAAATAAACCTGAAATGTTCCAAAACCTGAAAGTTTTTAAGAGCTGACATGACTCCACAAGTGGAAAATTCCATGCCTGACCTTATGTGACAGGCTGCAGTCAGAATGCAGGCATGCCAAAAATAATGTAAAAATTACCTTCAGGCTGTGTGTATGAAGTGTATATGAAGCATTAATGTGTTTCATGTTTAGACTTGAATCCTAGCCCCATGATATCTCCATAATACACAGATATTCTAAAGCCTCCTTTAGTCTGAAATGTACGACAGGCACTTCTGGTACCAAATATTCAGGATAAGAGACACCGGAGGCACACTGCTGACATCTGGAACACAAAATGCACTGTGGTGGATGCCTGCACATTGTAGGTTCTTTAGCAGTCCTGGCCTCTGCCTCTGCTCCCCGTGACAGTAGCATCTTTCATTTGACCATGACAACCAAAGACATCTTCAGACATTTATAAACATCCCATCTGGGCAGAATTAACCCCGATAGAGCAAAGCACTTTTATTCTGTGGAACATGATACACACTGCTTTCTTTCCCCGCCCCCGCTTCCAAGTTTATACATACCATTTGGGAAGAGAGCAGGTGGGATGTCAAATCATATGTTTTTAATAGCTGAATTCCAGCCTCCTTTATTAGATGAAGCTCACAGAGTTGTCATTCTTTTTTGGATGTCAACATGGTTGAATAACAGCAATTTTGTATGGCTCAGCCTAATACGAGCCCATGAAATCAGATTTATACAACCTCAGTCATGAGGGGCCTCAGGACAGGGTCATGCCCTGTGGTGTTTATTAAACACCCTAAGAAGCGTCCCTGCACAAGGAATTGCAGGATTTGAGGTGGGCATGTGGGGGTGAGGGGAAGAACTAAAGAATGTGCTGGAATAAGACCGAGGACAGAGCCAAGTCCCTGAAGAATACAGGGGGTATGGGGATAAAGGGAAAACACAATCCCACTGGGAAGGCAGCTCTTTGGGAGCAGAGGGGAAGCTGAATATTATGGGATGCAAGAGCATGTGGAGGAGAGTGGGCTCAGTACAGGGGGTGGTCTGCATCCTGAGTCTTAGAGAAAGTGCCAACTGGGTCCTCCTTGTGACATATGGGGCAGGAGCCAAACACCGGCTGGACTTTTGGGGCAGGGAGGAATTTGCCCCAAGAGCTCGCACAAACCTGTCTTCAGTGTATCCTAAAATCAGAATCAATGACCAAACCTGCTCTGGGCATCTTCTTTTGCCCATTTAGTCTTCCCAGAGCCTATTCATCTGCTCAATTGGAGTCACAGCAAAGAGTGAAATACACCGGTAATGCAGATATAGAATTGACATGTGTTAGTAATTTCAATGGGCTGGGGATGAAACTCAGTTGGTAGAATGCATGCCTGGGGTGCATGAGGGTGTGGGTGTGTAGTGACACCTGTAATCTCAGCACTGGGGAGGTGGAGGCAGGAGGATCAGAAATTCAAGGTCATCCTTGGCTACATAGAGTTTGAGTTTAGTCTGGATTAAAGGTTTTACCTCAAAAAAATTATAATAAACACACACACATGCACGCACGCACTTACGCATGCACGTAAACACGCACGCACGTACACACGCACGCACGTACACATGCATGCATATTTACAAAGCTTGAATTCCAAGTATATACGTATTTGTGCTAATGAAAGTACTTCTAATTAAGAAAGGAGAAGACGTTGTCCCTTGCGAGCCCCTGAGGACACTTCCTCTCGCCTGTGGCATTGATTCATTTTAGGCTCTGGCTCCTTTGCTCGCCCCTCCCCCCATTTCTCTGCCTTTCTTCCTTTCCTGCTTCCTTTCTTTCATATCTAGCAGTCATGGTATCCACCACCAAGACAGCTACCCCTCCACAGCAGGCGCCTTGTCTTTTTCTTTCCCGTTCCTTTCAGGTCTGCCCCTGTGTCGAGCCTCAAAATGCCCTTTTGGTAACTGGTGCCTTAAAACTGCTTCATCTGGCAACAAAACTGCTGTTTGCGGTTGGATCCAATAGGAGGCAGAAGGGAGACAGAGGGGCCCTTGGGGGTTGTGTGGGCTTGGAGTCTAAGCCTTAGGGACTGTAGAGGGGATGTGACTATTCACAGCACACATCCCAAGAGGAGACCTGGCATTCAGTTTTCAGACGGTGCCATTCAGCCTGATCTCCATGATGTACTTGATCATGTCCTCCATGGTCAGCATGGTGTACTTGCTATACCTGGGGTTGAACTCAGCTCCACAGACCTCATGGCCTGACATGTTCCTTTCCCCTGAGTTCTCCAGAATAGTAGACTGTAACTAAGGACTGAAAGTCTAGGAGTCTTGGGTCAGCAATCTTCTGTCCCATATAGCAGTAAGGGATGGCTCTCGCTTCTCTCCTTAATCTTTCGAGTCCTAATTTGGCACTATGCACTGCATTCAGTAGGCTGCCTCTTCTTGCCGGGTCTGGACCCTTTTTTTTTTTTTTTTGTCTTTTTAAAGGTCTTGCTATGTAGCCCAGGCTGGCTCAGAACTCACATTGTGTTACTCAGGCTGGCCTTCAACTCAAGATCCTCCTACAGGTGAGTACAACAATGCGCAGTAGGGCTGAGCTCATTTACAAACCAGAAAATACATGTGGACATATTATAGCTTTCTTAGGATAACAATCCCCAGCACTGACTCAGCATCTGAATCTACGTGTGCAGCATTTAGGTGGGGGAGGGGGGGAGGAAGAGGCAAAATCCAGAACAAAGATACTCAGAGGGCTACTCCTCTTGACTCACCGTATGGTAGGAGGGGTTCCCTGAGACAGGCTTTGTTTTCTAATTAGTTTGCCTGGCTTCTGATCAGTAGGTTGAAAGGAAGAAGAGAGTTTGTATAAATCCATAGATCCAGACACAGACTTGCTGGGAGCCAGTGGAAGGGAAGCTTGGAGACCCTTCACCTAATTTGCATTTGAAAATTTTTAGATTTATTTTCAAAGGTGTGTGTGTGTGTATGTGTGTGTGTGTTGGGGGGTTGTGCATGTGAGTGCGGGTGCCAGTGGAGGTGAACCCCTCTGAAGCTGGAGTTAGGAGTGATTGTGAGGTGTCTAACATGGGTACTCAAAACTGAACTCTCTCCTCCGTAAGAGCTGCACTTGCTCTTAACCACTCCCTAGTCTCTTGCATTTATAACCTTATATGTGCTTTGCATTTTAACAGTTGCATAAATGTTGTGTCTTGCCTTGGTTGTGGTGTTTCATGCCTGTAATCCTAGCATTATACTTCAAGGAAGAAAGATGTCTGGGAGTTTGAGATCAGCTTGGGCTACATCTTAAGTTTTAGGTCAGCTTGGGCTAGAATTAGAGAATGTCTCTTAAAAACAAACCAACCTCAAATACTCTAGTGACAGAAAAGATAACAAAACAAACAAACAAACAAACAAGCAAGCAAAAAACCACTTTATCTTCAGTGAAATGCGGACTTACCTCCATATATCATAGCACTACTTAGGGAAGCGTCTTTGGTGTTTTCAATAAACCAGGCAAGGGAAAAGAATGAGGCTTAGGAGGGTTCTAGGGGCCAGGAAGGTGGATGAAGAAGCAGAGTTTGTCCATCCGAAGAATCAAGGAGTTGGGGAGATGTTCTGGAGAGGAGAGTTTACTGTACAAACACAAGGACCTGAGTTTAAACCCTCAGAGCCCATGTAACAAGCCAGCAAATCCAGTGCAGGTGGGTCACTGGGCCTTGATGGCTGCCAGCCTAGCTTTGAGTTCAGTTTAGGACTCTGTCTCAAGGAAATAAAGGAGATAGAGATACAGAGAAAGGAAGGAAAAAAAGGAGAGGTGTTGTGGAGAAAACTCTCAATAGTCAAGATAATTTCCCCTGACCTGTGTGCACACGTTCACATCACACACACACACACACACACACACACACACACACACACACACACACTGAAAAAAAAGAAGAAAATAAGTAAGTCTGCATGGGACTCTACTACCCCAAACTTTGAATCAAACAGCTGTCAGCCCCATTGTGAAATCTATTCAAATTCTGTTTTCTTCCTTTCAGTAGTGACATGGAGGAGGGCATTGTGGGCTGCAGGATGAGTCAGCTTTCTTACTGTATGCAAACATCCCTAGACATTCCACTTGAAAGGAAGGAAGGTTTATTTTGACTCACAGCACTGTGGCCCTGTGTCGAAGCAGCACAAAGTGGTGGAATGTGTGGAGTAAGCCCCTTCCTTGAGACAGCTGAGAGCAAAGAGGGACAAAAAAGGAGTGGTCTTCAGAGACGCGTCCCCAGTGACCTAGCTTCGAAGGCCCCACCTCCTAATAACACACAGGCCAAGACCAAGCTTTCAACACTTGGGCCTTTGGGAGCATTTACTAAGACTCTAGCAGTGAGTGGGCATTTGGGAGCAGGGTTTAGGAAGGGGCTCCTGCTATGCTGAGGCGTGGGGAATTCAGGACATATGAACTATATTAGCTATACACAATGGGGAGATTAGGGAAATAACACACAAAATTTTCCCTGGAAGAGGATAAGAGAAGCACATCTTCAAGCCTACCGAAGCTATAAATGACCCAGAGCAGCAAGCTGCAGCAGTCACAGGGAGGAGACTTTCAGTAACACCAGGTCTATGTTCAAGTCCCACTGGGCTGGAGTGTCCAGCTGTCTTTCGGGGTGACAAAGGGCCATGCTAGAATTGCCTGAGAGTGGTTTTGCTTGCAAGCACACCCGCTTCCCTCGCACTGGTGTGTGTGTATTTAGAGTAGCCAGCCTGCTGGCCCATTCACAACGAAAGGACGTCCCCGTCCCCACCTTGATTGTGGCTTTAAGCGGGCACCGTTCTTCTGACCCTCCTACCCTGAAAGTGCTGACTAGGTCGCTCCAAGGGTGGTGTGCTGCTGTGCCTCACCCTGGTGGCAAACGAGGCCACAGCAGACCCATCAATCAGCCTGCCTTGGCAAATGCTTCGAGACTTGCCTGGGTGGCAAGTGGGTGTGGGTGTGACTCCCACTTGTCCATCTTCTAGACTGAATTTGTCCAGAGGTCC